TGGGTGTAGGTGAAATGCAGACAGTTTCCATCATTGAGGCTAATCGAAGCGTTATCTTGTCTTGGTCTATGCTGACCATAGTGATATTCAGGTTAGCCTGATTATTCAGACAATTCATGCTAACTGGAGTGCAGACTTTCACTCAGATTAACCTAAATAATACTGTTTAAGGTTAACGTTAGTACTCGATAATGCAAAAACAAAAAAACAAACAAAAAAAACAAACAAACAAACAAGCAAACAAACAAAAAACACTATATATACTTAAAAAGTCTGTAGTATGCATTCAGCATTTTACTCTCACTCTGCATTTTATCCCGGTCGACTGTGGTGCGCGTTTTACACTGGCCGGCTTGATATGCTTTAATTTTTATGGTTTGCCATTCGTTTCAAAATTGCATTGGAAGCTGTTACAGTCGGCAAAGCCATAATGGGGGGAGGTGCATGAAACCGCTCTTACCCCAATCATTTCCCATTTATGTAATAAACATTGAAGTTGTGTCACCAGCAATTCAAGAGGCAGTATTCTCTCAGCATTCGCTTGGGCACCTCTGTCCAATGAATCAACTAAACGATGGACAGAATCCATAGCAACTTCAAGAGGAACGATCAAGTTTCTAATACCGTTTGCAAGCAGGAGCCTGTTCCAAGCCAATATTTTTTTTCCAAATCCCACTTCTCTGCAATGTTCAAATCCCATTCCCAGAAGCACAATTCAGGGCAAAGCCCAGTGTTATACAGCTCTCTTTTCTCTTCGCATCCGCAAAACTACGGCATCTAAATACGACCCAACAAGAGCCCAAAACTTTACAAGGATTTGCAAAAATGTTCCGAAGACGATAGGATGCTTTTAGACTACTAAAACGTGCAAGTAGGGACTCTCTGGAACCCTCTGATTTAAATAAGTTCAGAGGCAAAGTGATTGTCTTGCATTTCGTTGTCTGACGTATTTACCATGCATCCCCAGTTAATTAGCCCACGCACTCATTTCAGGTTCAAGTGCTGGTTTCAAGTTATCTCCTTTGAAGTTGGCTTTGAAATTTTGATGCGAGGCATGGAAACTATGTGATGTTGGCGGCAGAGTTTGTAATATGAAATTGGATGTGCGTGTAGTCTGCTGCTGCCCACTTAGAATAGGATAGGAAAGGATAGGAAAGAATAGGAAAGATAGGAAAGGATAGAATGGGATGGGATGGGATGGGATACTATATTTAAAGTGGCAATATGCTTAGCCATAGGGCTAGTTTACAGATATCCCACTACTAAAATTAACATAACGAACCGACCCTTTTCACTGTTTCTTGAACTGATGTGCCAGACATCATTGTATATTCTCACAATGTTAAAGCGTCTCTGTAAAAATGTGTTACGGGATACTGATTTCTAACATGAAGGGTTGAGATCGAGTGCCTCCACATTTGATCTCATTTTGAAACCGGGAAATACTGAATGACAAGTACTGCACATGCTGGATAAACATGCTCACACTTGACATTGGACAAGGTGCCTAAAACATTTCCTGACGTTTCCCAAAGATTTATTCCATTTCTATTTTTGACATTTTTTCTCATTCCAGTAACCAAATCTCAGTCACAGCCGGCAGGTATATTTTGTAGGTTGCATGTTGAAACCTGAACATCTTGTTTATTTGAGTTAAAGTCGTATAAACCCCAGTATAAGGGCTAACCGCTAGCAATCTAAGCTAATTTAGGCTAACCGAAGTGCTAAGTAGACCCACTCGGACTTAAAAGTCGATTTTTGAACTTGCAAGCTGCAAGCTGCAACCTGCAAAGCATACCTGCCCAGTCCCAGCGACCCAAATCCCAGAGCAAAAACAGGCTAATTTAATCCCAGTTCCCATTTTACCCCTTTAGGACCCTTCATCACATCAATATGCCAGCCACTCTGACGAAAGGCACTTTCCGTTCTGGCATATACAACGCAATCTGCGGGACCCGCTTTTTCGCGCATCTAACTCTCTGACGCATATATATGTTTCCTTGTAAGAGGCGTATGTTTTGGTATTTATTTCGCATAATCCCCGCGCTTGTGTTTACGCAAATATGTGGCCATTCAAAAAATAATTAATGCGTATGTATACGCGATCTAAATGGTCGTGTATATGGGCTCAAAGCCCGTAACGTATGTGAACATCCTGTCGTAATTTTGAAACGAATGGTCGACCTTAAATTTCTACAATGTAAATCACTGAAGTGTTTCGTAATTTTCCCTAAGCACGACCCTCGCTTAGTTTTCAAATGATGGCGTGAAAGTCATCCTTTGTCATTACAACCGGGCATGCATACATGCGTGACGGTGGCGTTACATGTAAATACCGGATTCCCGATGAGTACAGTGGATTTGTGGTGCTCGAGAGGATCCTATGGCGACACAAGAGAAGTCCGGTAAGCCCTTCTAGTGTCATAAATACACTTATATATAACGCAATAGAGCCAAAATATGTTTTTTTCTTCTGTTGTGGTCTAGTACTTCTCAAGGGCATTTACACGTATGGTATAAATTATGTCGAACTTCAACTTTAATATGTCTGTATGTGGGCAATTATTTTATTTTAAGCACATTTTGCTTGATAACCGCTTCAAAGTGACACTAAAAAGTCATCTACTATATTAAGGCCATGATATCTGTGGCTCTGAAGATAACAAAGAACTGTGGATGTAAGGCGATCGGTGTCAAAACAGAACTCTGTAACCCTCTACATTGCATATTTCTGAAATTTACGCTCATTGCTATATAAATGTTTTCTACAAATAGCAGATCTAACCGTCGAAATTAAGTTTGGGTTTATAAAAGTAAATGTTTCAGTAGATTTAGTAGCAATTGAAGTCAGAATAATTTTATTATCACACGGTCTTGTTATATATAATTCAGTATCCACCGGGTGAATACATTCTTTCATGAATAATCTTTCATTTGCACGCTTCAGTGAACCGTACAGGAGTAACCTCAATATTATAAATAGCATATTCAAGATGCTTGTCAGTCATAGTGTTCAAAGGCAATATATACTGAGAAGTTGCCTCTAAAAGAAAACATGTTGGAAGGAAGGGTTAATTTAGCTATTATGTACTGGTTAACGCACTCATTAGCGGCGGGATCAGTTTTGCAGTGAATGCCATGGGCGAATACATTTAATAATTAAATCAGGGTAGTTGTACAAAATATTTGGCTTGTACACCAGGATATAGCATAGCAAAACAATGCTAAATTCCCCGCACCTGCAGCCTTAAGAAACTTATCCTTTCGTGTCCTGTAGACAACTTGCGACATTCTGTTTGGGAATAAATGTTTTGTTTCTGCAGGGAAGATATACAAAGAGCCCGCAGTCCGTCCGCCCAGCGTCAATCGATTGAATGAAATAGCGAAGAATCTGGGTCTAGATCTGGACGAAAGGGAGGTGCACGAATACCATGGTAATCGAAAATGTGAATTGTACCTTTTGCCGCAATACCCCTCTACGTTAGATACATGAATGCCATTTCGCACAAGATTAGCTTCCTGATTTTGTTATCCTTTTCTTCCTAGCAGTGTATGATCACAGTTAGGGCGCTTATCTAGTTAAGAGCTTATTTTAAAAATACTTTGAAACTGTTTGTTAGAAGGCAAATAAGAAGTACATAGTTCGCACTTTCCCTAGCAAACCAGTAAAAAGTATCGTTTGTTATTCAGACGTTTTTCTTGACAAACTTTTCTCATCTGGTGTCTAACTTACTGAACACGAGCAAAGAAACACCTCACTACTTTTTTTCTTCTTCAAATTAAAATGATCAGAAAATTGCGCACACTCTTTTAACCGGCGTCCATGGGCCGGAAAACCTTTTTTTACGATAACTGCAGAAATTCTCGAGCGCTCATTGGCTAGTTTTCATTGTCAATAAGCGGACAGACACATGAATTTATAATTTATGCGATGCTTCAACGAACGAGAAAGATCATGACGAAATTCATGACCAATAACAGGACAGACGCATGAAAAAGTGAAAAAGTGAAAAACTGTTGACTGGAGAGATAATGAATTCGAACTAACCAATTGCCGCAACATGCGATAACAGGAGGTAGATATACGAACTTGCACCAGCTAGGTCAACGATCAGTAATACCAAAACATTTCTCTGCTCATATCGTGCTTTGCCAATATTTCGAATGTTTCCTTTGCACAGCTATGACTAACTGTTTTATAAAAGGCTTCCAACTTAACCTCTTTATTTTTTTTTTTCTCTTCACACACCAAAAGAGGCCATTGCCAACACCTTGGCGGATACATACCAGAGACTATACGAGCTTCCAGATCTGAAAATTCCTGTAAAGTACCCTAGGACGCCAGGATACAGGCCTTCAGCGGCGGAAAATCCATACAATGCATGGTACGCTTGATTTTGTGATTATGCATAGTGACATATATAAACAATAGCCTCCATTTTGCGCGGAAATATGCTCGGATATTTGTCCGCGGACATTATCTGTTCTGAGAAGCGAACAGTTTCTCGCAAAGCGAACAGTTTTCTCTCAAACTGTGAGCTTTGAGGAACAGATATTGTCCAAGGACAAATACTTTAGAATAGTTTCGCGCAAATGGAGGCTGTTACGTTTATTATCCTACAAATATTTTTCGCAACACGCGCGATGTTGAAAATTGAGGAACATCACTCGGATATTCCCCAGTTTTAGCTGGGGAATATTCAGTCACTTGAAGCGTTTAGACCAATCGCGCGCGAGCGAAAATATTTGATGGATTATAAATGCAGGTTATGCAACATATAGAAAACAATGACTTGACGTTGTTTTACATTATTGGTTCGATTTCCCTTGCCTTCTCGATAACAATTGCTACTGTAGAGACAAATAAGTTATTAGACTTTGTTCACTGATGATATTTGCATCTATCATGCCGGGGAAGAGTATAAGGGACATCGCTATGTCAGGGGCATGGAGGCTGTCCAAAGTTGACGATCGAGTGTGGATATGACGCGCTCTCTGAAACCTTAACCCTATTTGAGACAAAAAAAAAGATAATGGTCAAGATCTATACTGTATACTGTATTCCACACCAAATAGCTGAAAAAGCAAACATAGAGAGTTTCTACCCAAGGTTTGACAGCTGCCGTGACAGATCATTCCTACCATTCTAGGTTTACGGTTAACTTTTTTTTTTTTTATCCTTCTGCATATTATTTATCCTTTTCGTTGGATATCGTAGTCACTTGTGTGCTATTGTAACTCAAAGTGATATTTGTAACTCTGAAACATCTCTGAACCTGCTGCTGTCAGCAAAACAAACGAAGAAGAAACCATGGCCAGTGAAAGCAGGAGAGATAATTACATTGATCTTCTGTTGGGTGAAAGTGCATTCAGTGTATAAGCTGTCAGTAGCACGTATTTTAGAAATTGTATAAAACTCTACCTAATCATAGTGAGAAGACGACAAATAATTTTACTCTGCCCTTTGATATTTTATAATTTAAAGGTACTGGCGCAGCGATATTAAGGGAGCAACAAACGGAAAACTCCATGGCAAAACACTGGCCATCAAAGATAATGTTTGTGTGGCTGGAGTCCCTATGATGAACGGTTCCAGGATTCTCGAGGGCTTTGTCCCGGATGTTGATGCAACTGTAGTATCCCGGATACTGGAAGCCGGAGGTCGTATACTAGGCAAAGCTGTGTGTGAGAATCTGTGCTTCGATGGAGCAAGTTTTACTTCAGCTACGGGTCCCGTGCTCAATCCTTATGACCAGACAAGGATGGCAGGTGGCTCGTCCTCAGGGTCAGCGGCTCTGGTAAGAAGTGACAGCTTGCATCACAGCGTCACGTTACAAAACCGTCCTTTCTCACCTCATCCTGTATCTCAGAAGATGTGCCAGCCTATTGGTTAGCATGCTGGGTCCCGGGTCAGGTGGTCATTGTTCGAGGGCTGGGAGTGTGTGGGGTGCCTCTAGCTACACACCCAAACTGACATCTTACGCCTTGAGAAAACCACTTCTCGCTTGACGCCACGGAACCGATCGAATTTGGCATTCCTAGTCTTCCTTGTATGGTTCGCCAAGTTATAATTAGTTACCTCTAACCTGTATACAATGCAATAAAACCATATAAGTTAAATTATACAAACCTCCCAGAAATGTGGCGTAGAGTCTGAAGGATGTAAAGGCTAATGGATGTACCATCGCTAAAAATATTTCACAAAACAAATTGCCCCTGTTAAAACAACAGCACGAATGCTGTCGAAATGGAATCACTCAAAAAAGTATGATAGCGAATCAGTTTTTGTTGAATTTTTAGTTATTCATTTTGCCATTCTGCTCACTGGTGCCGGTTGTCCTTCCCAGACTTCTGAGAACAACCTGGGAACTTGTCTATGAAAAGAAATGCAAATATTTAGTGGTTAGCTTACTGCTTTACCTTAGGTCGCAGGAGGTCAAGTGGATATGGCTTTAGGTGGAGATCAAGGATGCTCCATAAGAGCACCAGCACATTACTGTGGTATTGTGGGTTTAAAACCTACGCACGGCCTAGTTCCATACACTGGAATTATGCCACTTGAACTGACCATTGATCACGTTGGACCAATGGCCAGGACTGTGTATGACACAGCATTATTGTTAGAGGTAAGTTGGTACTATTGTATCTTACACTTACGTCAATTTCTACAAGTTTTCAGACATGGTGTTGGGTTTCAGGGAGGTTTAAACATAGAATGCCTTCCATATCAGTTCCATAGATACAACACTATTAAAATTAGAATTAAATTAAATTACAATATTTAGAGAGGAAGCCACATCAGCCTTTGCTGGTTTCCATGCGGCTCCTCTATCCTGGTCGAATTGGAATCTGAGGTTGGTTTTTGTGGAGGGAGAAAAACCAGAGAACGAGGGGAAAAACCATCGGAGCAAGGTCAACAACAAATTCAACCCAGATATGACACCGGGCCGGAATCCTAACCAGGCTACATCGGTGGGAGGCAAGCGCTCTCACCACTGCTTCATCCAGTATTAACACAAAACTGCCTATTGTATCAATTCGAATCATAATATGATTACGTAGGGCGAGGGCGTGAAGAAGACATGGAGGAGCAGGAGGGGGAAGATGAGGACGGGGACGAGGGAGGGATTACTACACCGAGAGGGAGAAGCCGGAAAAAGAATAAGAAGAGAGGAGATAGGAACAGTCGCAGGGCAACAATAAGAACAAGTATTGGGCAGCGGTGGCTTTCTCCCGCCATTTTATTCAAAGCAGTGCGCATGCATCTCGAATCTGAGAGAAGTTCTATGTGAAAATATTCCATTAATACAAAAAAATGTCTCCGCAAGTATCATTTATCTGGTAATTGCCTTTAGGTCATAGCTGGGTTTGATGATGGAATGGACCCGAGACAACCTAGTGACTTGCAGCCTACTTTGTCATACACAGAACAGGTACAAAGGCATACACAGTTTATAAATACCGTATACACACAGATATATTTGTAACGATAGAAACAGAAACAGAGATATTTATTTTACGGGTAGTTTTACGTTTCTATATGTGGCGATATTCGCATCCTCCGGATATCAAAAACCGTCGTGATTGCTGCGCCATAGTTTCGGAGAGGGGTGCTTTATAGAATAATTATAAAGCTTGGAGATTCACGCGATGATTCTTATATCAGCGAGCCTATTTTGGAGCTAGAGGGACCTTTTCCCTCGTTAATATTACTGTTATGTTCTGTTTGTCCGCTCGATTCTTTGGTGCCGTGTATATTTTGTCTACTTTATTGGCCCAGCTCTTTGCTGCTTTTAATGCTTTGTCATGAAAAGTCGGACATTATCAAACTTTGTTCTGTTCCATACTCCGCATAATTAAAATAGGGGTACTTATTGTAAAAACTACATTATCATCAATGAAAGCAATTTAGACATCAATGTATAGGAGATGGGTTTCATTTTTGGAAAGGGTTAATTTATGGGAGAAGAGAGCTAAGTGGAAACCCCAATTTACGCCAATTACCTCTGGATTTTATAATTGTTTTATAATTGGTATATTTCAGTTGACGGGAAATGTATCCGGAATGAAGATTGGCCTGGTAAAGGAAGGCTTTGGACACACTGGTGCAGAATCTGACGTTGAGGAGCTCGTTAGACAAGCTGCCAGCTGCATACAAACACGCCTTGGTGCCAAAGTCCAGGAGGTATCCATACCGATGCATCTAGACGGTGAGATATGTTCAGCGGAATCCCGCCTTTCGACCATGCACCTGGTTAAAAAAATCCTGTCAAAAAATGGATTCTATTTTGCCCATTTCTATTCCTAGTGGCTGGCAATCAAACATATATTACTTAAGTCTCGAAAAGAGCAAAACAAAGTCCTTAGATGTAGTCCATTTCGAAAACTATTTTCAGCTTCTTCTCTCACTTAATGTATAAGCGGCTCTCATACTTCCTGTGCTTTTTATACAACAGTTGCTGATTAAATGTGTTTCCTTTCTGCTAAGGATGTTATGTTAAAGATTAACAAGTCGCATCTGACATTCAATTGGAAAGTATCTTCTGTTTTTTTTTTCTTTTTAACCATGAACAGTTTAAATTGTGCATTACCCTGTAACATGCCAGAAGGCTGGTTGGTCGGTCGGTTGGTTAGCTTCACAAAAAATGTTGGCCTCTCGACTAGCTAATGTTAATAAACACACTTTCCCATTTTTCAGGGTTAAAGATAATTTCGGGTATTTCCATTGAGGGAAGCACTAGAATGATGTTGGAAGGAGGAGGTAAGAAGTCAAAATGGCTCCTGCAAGATTCAAAGGGAATACTGGAAGCATCACGCCCTTTGAATTTGCTCTTTTGATGGGCACCGACGGGGAGGTGCGGGTTAGGGGAGATGGGACAGGGAGTGGGCAGGACGGGAGTACTGTACGATTAAATGCGCAACGGTCATTTAGCTGCTTCAATACTTATAATCAGTTCATCCTAAGATAACTGGAATAAACACTGGCTGTGTCGCCTGATCATGTAAAAACTTAATGGTCGCTTCCCTTTATAATACTACCAGGTTTTGGAACTTCTGCCAAGATGTATTACGACACTGTTTTGCAGCAAGCATTTGCACGTGGACTGAAGACACACATGAATGATTTACCGATTACGTGCAAACAAACCCTCTTGCTTGGACGCTATCTTCTATCAGAATATAACGGACATTTCTACAGTAAATCACAGAATTTGGCTAGGGAGCTGTCCTTAGCGTACGACAGGGCATTACAGGAGTGTGATATTCTGTTAATGCCAACCGTTCCGAGGAAAGCTCAGCTGTTACCTCCAGCAAATCTTTCAATGGAAGGTCAGTGGAAAAATAAATAATCGTGAATTTCGAAGCGTACAATTTTTGTCATCGTAACATGATTTCTTTCGTGATAAGATTTGGGATGGCCCGGGAGAGGTTTATAGTTCCCGTGCTGATTTCAATCAGAGAGCATTTTAGCATGTGAACTGTTTGATCACGTGGCCAGATGTTTCTATGGTAATCATGTATTCAAAGTGTTGTTGAGCTTGTTGTTTTTTTCGTTGTTTTTATTTTACCAAAACTTAGTGTTGTTTGGAGGATTTTCATGCCCTTTAATAATATTATTTGATTATTGTTGAGGGACGAGGGCCTCAATGATGGTGTGGAAATCTCCGTTATTAGTTATCAGATTTCAGCTGTCAAGACATTTTGCAAATCTCAGATTTCAGCAATCAGTTTAATATGTATCTTTGTCAGGTGTGAGTTACAGTTTTAAACAATTTTTTCATAATATTGTTCACTTGGAGTTGCAATTTCAGTTT